CGGCAATTGTTGCGGCACGCAACCCGATCCCAATATATATATCATTACTGTTGCGGCGTGCAACCCGATCCACAATGTCATTGTTACGGCGTGCAACCCGGTCCGTATCATCTAGCATTGTTGCGGCGTGCAACCCGACCCTCAAATATCACTGTTGCGGCGTGCAACCCGACCCATATCATTTAGCATTGTTGCGACGTGCAACCCGACCCTCAAATATCACTGTTGCACCGTGCAACCCGACCCATATCATTTAGCATTGTTGCAGCGTGCAACCCGATCCACATTTATCATTGTGCGGCGTGCAACCCGATCCATATATATATCACTCTACCTTACCCAAACAATAGTCACAAATAAGGGCAAGGGAGTAAATAAACAAAATGAAAATCCCGGCAAGAGAGCACACAACAAACAATTAAAACCCGGCAAGGGCACCACATCAATAAACTCAATATCCCGGCAAGGGAGAAAAACCAACAAAATCAACAAAAACGTCCCGGCAAGGGAATAACCAATAACTCTTTCTCTTTCATTCATTTCTTACCTTATGATTCACTTTTAACACTTGAGCCAAGCTCCAAGGAGTTACTTATCTCATATACCGTCACAATCTACATTTCTCAACCGAGCCAATGCTCCGTGAAGTACCAAGATCACAATTTCTATCACAAAGCCTTTACCACATATAGAAATCATCAACTAAACATGGGAGGCATAATAACAACCAACCATACGCAAATAAGGACTCGCGGTCATGCTAGAAACCAGTGTATAGATACTCGTCACCATGCCTATACATCGTACTCGATCAATTAGCAAATAGCAAACAAGACTCAACTCCTATTCCCTCAAGCTAGGGTTAAACCAAACACTTACCTCGACTTCCACGGGCAAATCAATCCACAACAACCGCTTTCCCTCTCGAATTCGGCTCCAACTGAGTCAAATCTATACAATAATGTTTCCATAGTATCAATATATGCTAAACAAATCAAACCCAATGCCTAAATATAAATTTCTAAGCTTTCTTCCCAAAATTCCAAAAATCGACCCCGGGCCCGCTTGGTCAAAACCCGAGGTTCGAACCAATTTCACGTCACCCATTCCCCCACGAGCCCGGATATAAAATTTGTTTTCAAATTCGACCCCAAAACGAGGTCTAAATCAAGAAAAATTAAAAAGCCCTAACTCTACCCATTTCCCCCAATTTCAACCCTAGATTACATGCTTTAGGCTTAGAAACTCACTAATTAATGAAGGAAAATGAAGGAAATGAGTGGGAATTTACTTACCCAAGTGGTCTTAAAGAATGGGGGCTTCAATGGATTCCTAAAGCTTGGGGGAGAAGAGTGTTCGTGAGAATTTTTGAATGAACCCGCAACTATTCTGTTTCTGAACTTAAAATAATAACTGGGCGAATTTGCCTTACGCGATCGCGACATTAGGGTCGCATTCGCGGAGAAGGAGGACTGGGAAGCATCGCGTTCGCGGAAGGCTTATCGCGAACGCGTAGAAGGGAAGGGCTGGGTCCAGGACTTTGTTATACGCGAACGCGTGAGGGGCCATGCGAACGCGATGAGTAAGGCTGCAGGGCTACGCGTTCGCGAACGGTTTGATGCGAACGCGAAGAGGAACCAACTGGGGTCCTGAATTTGGCTAACGCGATCGCGAGGTTCAAGACGCGAACGCGAAGAAGGAAATTCGGATGCTTCGCGAACGCGGGAGAGAGAGTGCGATCGCGAAGAAGGAAATGACTGGGCACCTGTTGCAGAAAATCTGCAACTTTTCCTAAGTTCAAAACACCCCGAACCACCTCCGAAAACACTCTCGAGCCCTCGGGGCTCCCAACCAAACACACACGCTAACTCAATATCATCCTACGAACTTAACCGTGCGATCAAATCGCCAAAATAACATCAAAATCCATGAATTAAACCTCAAAATCATCACTTTTTCATCAAACTTCATTAACTTTCATTTTTAGATATTTAGGTCCGAAACACGTCAAATGACGTCCGATTTCAACCAAATTTCACAGAAAGCGCTTAAACCACATATAAGACCTGTACCGGGTGCCGGAACCAAAATACGGGCCCGATACCAACACGTTCTAATCAATTTCCTTTTCAAATTTCCATATTAATTTCTGAAAAATAATTTCACAGAAAAATTCATTTCTCGGGCTCTCGACCTCGGAATTCGACTCCGGGCATATGCCCGAGTCTCATATTTTTCTACGGACCCTCCGGGACCGTCCAATCACGGGTCCGGGTCCGTTTACCCAAAATATTGACGAAAGTGAATATTTTTTTAAGGATATAGCCTACTGCCCTATCTTAACTAATAAATTAAAAAAAATTAAATTTAAAGGTAAAATCAACATCCCAATCTTAGCTAATTATAAAGATATAGATGGAGGTATTATCAGCACATATTACTGTTGCTCCTAAGAGGAAGAAGAATACGAAAAATAAGAATAATCTATGTATTTTCTGTCTATTGTTTCCTAAATAAATTGATTCAATTCTTTTTCAAGATTTTAAATTGAAAAACAAACAAACCAAATCTTATTCAAGCTTTTCAATAGGAAAAGAAAACTCCAAGGATAAAAACAACACCTCAAAATTTTGGTGAAGTATAAGAAAATATGAGTAGATGCTCTTCTATTTTTTTCTATTATTGGATTAAACATAAAATAAAATAACTCTATAAGATTTGATAGTAGAAAAATTAATATACAAAGAGGTAGTAGAAATAGTGTGAGAGAATTTATAATTGTAAAAAAAGTTAATAAATAAAATAAGAATAATAAATAAATAATAATAAATAATATTTTTAATAAATTTAAATATTAGTATGAGTAGTAGAACAAGAGAATAAAAATAAATAAAAAAGTTATTACAATTAAAAGAAAAGTCAAATTCATATATAATATATTATAATACGAGTAGTGAACAAGAATATGAACTATTTTAAGTTATAGTTAACATAATAACATGAACAAAGAATTAAAAAGAAAAAGAGAAAAAATATGTAAGTAAATAATTTTAGCGTAGATATATATAGAGGGATAATACTTATTTGATTCTTGAAAAGAGAAAGTCTTTTTAATAATGGAAAAGTCATATTATATGGATAGGTTACACGTATTTGAGAATCCATATATACAGATAAAATTAAAACCAAAATCATAGACAATTGACATAATTTCAAGAAATAAATTAGAAATATAAAAATATAATTTATATTTTTATATAAATAATTTTAATAAAAAATTAAGAGTTAAACTTCATTACAAATAAAAGAATTGTATAAAATTTTATTGTAAGAGAAATAATATAGAAAGAGGGGATAGAGATATTGTGAGAAAATATACTTTAAATTAATTTAAAACATAAATCGATATGTATTGTTCAGTTAACATTTCAGGTTTGAGAATCAAGACGTGTCATATATATAGTTTAGATTCGAACAATTTTAGGCGATTCTCAAAAAGACAATGGTCATGGATATGCAGTTTGGTTCAATCAATTTAATGCAACTCCGATAATATTAGAAGGAATTAAATTAACCATAAATGTACATAAGAAGAGAAGGAACTGATGGCAAGCTATACATCAATTTATTTTGTGAGGATAATATTTTTATGTATGAAGCTACTCAGGAATCAGCTAAATTAAATAACAATTGCATTATCTTACGGTGAAATTAATTATCCAAAACTTTATTTTTTGTCTTATATCTCAGTTGTTTGAAAGAAATATGTATACTTTTTAGTTTTTTTTAATCGATGCTAGCAGTTGCTATGCTAAATTATATAAGAATTGGGAGTATAGATTCTTTTTTGATAGCTCAGGTATGAACTGTGACTATTTAGTCAGTTGTTGATATTTATGCTCTCATAAATTATTTTAACCAATTGATTGAGCAACTGTTGAGGCTGGCATATACATGTAAATTAGAATGGAATAGATTTGAACAGAGTGAACATACAGAGGGATATTATTGTATTATTTGGAATTGCTATTTATACATAATAAAGCGAATTACAAAAAGCAAATGTAAATTAATTTAATTAATAAGAATTACCAACCAAGCGGTAGGAACTCATCTTCTTTTAGGACATATGCATGGCAGAAGAGAAATATTAAAAGTAGATTAAAAGTTAACTTATTGAAAAAAATCTTGATTCTTACGAAATGAATTGCTAAATAAAACTAAAATCCATAAAGATGAAATGTTTAATATTCTTGCTTACAAATAGTGATCTGAATAGCCCCCTATGTTCTAAAAGTATCATTTAAATTATTAAAAGCAACCAAGCTTTAATTCTGTGATTAAAACTAAAGTGGCATCAAAATCATTGAGTAAATTCTAATCTAATTATTCCATATGTTGATAATTCCTTAAAGTGATGATATGTTGGTGTGAATAAATCATCAAGTATGTTATTAGTATGTCTTTTAACATTAAAGATTTAAGTTAATATTGTAAGAGGTACTTCTGTTGAGATAATAATAAAATATTTATTTTGTAATTTTTTTTTGGTAACTAACATATTTTATTAATCACCAAGTAGTAATTACAAAAACTTTAGCATAGCTAACACAGCCTGCTATCTATCCATTTACATTGAATACTCAACTACCTAGAAATATAAGCTATACACAAACAACTTATTTCTAGGAGTGACTCTAACACTAACAACAAAAGCTATCTCTTTTGTAATCTGCTCCCATACTCTGCTTTTTTGTTCAAATATACGTCTGTTTCTCTCCATCCAGATGTGGTGAGCAACTTGTGCATAAACCATTCTAAATATCTGAGCATGTTGGGTTTTCCTCTGGCACATATCACTGACCATTGGCTGAATTGCTGCCAATTGGCAAACCCCTGAAATTGCTTCTTCATCCAGTTGCACATTTTGATCCATACTTGTTGAGTAAACTCACACTGCCCAAATAGATGATCTCTTGTTTCCACTGTTTTTCTACACATTACACATTGTGTGTCAACATTAGTCTCCAGTTAGCTATCCTGTCACTGGTCATCAATCTCCCATGCATCATCAGCCACATTATGAATTTTGCCTTTGGTCTTGCTGCATTATTAAACATCAATGTTTTCCATTCCACCCTGCTATAGTCACCAAGTAGATGTAAGTAGATTTGTCTGATCAGGCTTCTGTTGTGAGTGTGCATAAACTGTCTAGTTTCCAGAATTCCATGTGCCTCTATCACTTTCCTTACCATCGAACAGGCTTGCTGGGGTGTTGGCGTTGTACTCATCTGTTGGTTCTTGATGTAGTAAGTATGAATCCAGCGGATCCATAACTTATCTTGCTTGTGAGCTATGTCCCAGCAGTGTTTGGCAATGGCTGCTTTGTTCCATAGCTTCAGGTTAACAAAATTCAGTCCACCTCCTGCCTTTGGCAAGAAAACTCTATCCCAAGCAAGCAAAGCCTTCCTTGTTATTTCATTTGTACCAGACCAAATATAAGACCTGCATAGCCCCTCTACAATCTTGATTACTTTTGTTGCGAGAATGAATAATTGTACCCAGAAAGCCTGAATTCCAAACAAAACACTTTGGACTAACTGGACTCTTCCTGCATAAGATAGAGTCTTAGCAGTCCAAGAAGTAATCCTTGTAGTCATTTTGTCAATAAGTGGTTGCCACTGCATTATACTTAGTTTCTTTGTAGATAGAGGCACCCCTAAGTATTTAAAAGGAAGTTCACCATTTGAGAGCCCCAGCATCTGCAGGATTTGTTGTTTATCTACCAAAGGAACCCCTCCAAAATAAGCTTCACTCTTACTAAGGTTTGCCTGCAGACCTGAAGCCTGAGTGAATTGATAAAATTTTTGCTGCATCATTTGTACTGTCTTTTGATCACCTATGGCAAATAGCAATAAATAATCTGCAAAACTTAGGTGAGTGATCCCAAGTTTAGCACATCTAGGGTGATACTTAAAGACCCTCTCCTGCTTCAGACTAGCCAAGTTCCTACTCAGATACTCCATTGCTATGGCAAACAAAAAAGGAGACATGGGGTCTCCCTGCCTCAATCCTTTAGCAACATTAAAGGGTTTAGTTGGTTCCCCATTAACTACAATAGAGTAGTTAATTGTTTGAACATATTACATAACCCAAGATATGAATAGTTGAGGGAATCATAGTTCTTCCATAACTTGCTTCATATAAGGCTACTCCACAGAATCATAAGCTTTTTGGAGATCTATCTTTATCATGCACCTAGGAGATATATTCTTCCTAGTATAAGCCTTCACTAGTTCATGTGCCAAAAGGATATTGTCTGCTAGCTTTCTCCCAGGTATAAACCCTGCTTGTGCTTCATCAATAATTGTACTAATGATGCCTTGCATTCTTGCTGCTAGAACCTTGGATATCATTTTATAAAGGACAGTGCAACATGCTATAGGTCTGAACTCTTTTACAGTTTTAGGCTTAGACACCTTAGGGACCAAGGTTATGGCTGTGCAATTTATAGCTCTATACAGTTTCCCAGTGCTAAAAAACTCCATAACAGCTGCAGTGACTTCATCTTTAATAATAGGCCATGCTTTCTTGAAGAAATATGCATTATAACCATCCACACCAGGAGCCTTGTCATTGTCTATAGAGCATAATCCTTCATAGATCTCTTCTGGAGTCACTTCTCTGCATAACTCAATCCTTTGTTGTTGATTATGTTTAGTTCCCATACACATAATCCTTTTGTCTATGGCAGGGAGTGAATGAGCAGCAGTACCCATCAGTGATTTATAAAATTCTATTATCTCCGTTTGGATGCTTTCTGAATCAGTAATCCTGTTGCCAGTGTTGGACTGCAACTCCACTATTTGCTTCCTTTGGCTCCTCTCTTTCATCACAGCTGAGAAATATTTAGTATTAGAGTCACCTAGTTGTATCCATTTTGCTCTGGCTTTTTGTTTCAGAGCTCCCTCTTCTATCAGATCCCATTTTTCCAAATTCTGAATCAACTCCTTTTCTTGCAGTAGCAGCTCAGAGGAACTACTAGTGTCTATGCTTTTTTGGACCTGTTCAAGTTCAATTCTGGCTATCTCTATTTTTTGTCTAATGAACTTAAACTCCTCCACGTTTAGTTTCCTCAGTACCAGCCTTAGTGCTTTTAATTTCATCCACACATTCTGTATCTTCTATCTGTGAAAACTTTGCTTCCAAATTTGCTGCACTTCATAGTTGAACCTCTCATGCTCAGCCCAGATATTGAAAAATTTGAAAAGGAATTTTTCTACTTTTGTGCTGATCATTAAAGGTTAGTGTCATATGAGCATGATAAGAAATAAATGGTAGTTCATACACAGTGGATATATGACCCCATTGCATCATCCATTCATAGTTACCAAACATCCTATCAATTCTGCTCCATATCCTGTCACCACCACCTTGCTTGTTGGACCAAGTATAATAATCACCCTCCCAAGTCAATTCACTAAGCTTCAGGTCTTGAACACATTTGCTGAAATCTTGAGTCTCAGCCTTAGTAACTGGATTTCCATGCATTCTATCTTGTATTTGCAAAACAACATTAAAATCTCCCCCAATCACCCATGGTATGGATGTCATTTGTTTTATCTCTTTCAGGTTATCCCATAACAGTTTCCTTTGTTCAACTGTATTAAAACCATAAACTATGGACACTGCATATTCATGACCATTTCTGATATTTGTGACAGCACAATGTAGTACCTGTGCCTCTGCTTTAATCACCCTGACTGAGTAGTAATTAGTATCCCATAACACCCATATTCTTCCATTGATTGCGGCATTATAGTTGTTGAACATCTCCCACCCAGGGGCTATGTAGTGGCTGACACTTCTAGCGTTATGTTCCTTTACTCTTGTTTCAATGATCCCAGCTAAACTAATGTTTTTATTCTTTAGATAGTTTTTCAGCTCCTTCCTCTTATGCCACTTATTAATGCTCCTAACATTCTAGATTAACCACCTCATTGGTTGAGTTTAGATCCCCTACCTCTATCATGAGGTAGGTTAGAGCTTCCACTAGCACCTGCTGTTCCACTTTACAGATTGCCTCTACTAGCTAAAGGTGTTAACATAGGGAAGTTTTCAAGGCTGAAATCTAATACTTGCTTCTTGCCCTTATCAATTGTTTCAACTCCATAACCCTCTGTATCTCTAGCCAACTGGTGCTGGCTTGCTTGTTGCGACTGCTCTGTTGGATACTGCTTAGGCCTTTCCTTGGCAATTTCGTTTGACTTTGTCACTCCAGCTGCCTTAGGTACCTCAATACCAGTTGCTTCTGTGTGCCCAGGTTCTGAATTACTTGTAGCATTTGTGACTGGTCCTATAGTTCTCCATTCATAAGTGACTTTCTTTGGTTCTCTTCTCCTCTTTGGTTGAACCTCCTTTTGCTCTGTAGGCTCTTGGTGAGTAGAACAGACATGGCCAATAGCTTGGCATTTGTCACAGTACATTGGTTTCCACTCATATATTAGATCCTGTTAAAAAACTCTCCCTCTAGGATCCCTCACCATAATCTCTGTCGGCATAACTTTAGTCACAGTCACTTCAATCAACATCCTTGCATATGAAATTCGTATTTGCTTGGTAGTACACTCATCAGCAAATAAAGGTTTTCCAATAGCACTAGCAATTTTACTCAGTGCTTCATTTCCCCAGCAACTCATTGGCAATTTAGGGAAAATTACCCGCAGAGGTATATCAGTTAGGAATTCCTTAGTTAGATCAAAATCTGGAGACCAGGACTTAAGAATTATTGGCTTATTTGTGAAGGTATGAGGTCCAGCATAAAATATTCTATGTATATCAGCTAGGTTTTGGAATTTTATCATAATATCCATCCTCATGAAGAAATAGATCTGGTTTAGCAACATCAAGCCAATGTTGAGTAATATACCTTTGCATAGCATTATAGCCCGAATTTTCACCCACAATATATGCTATCATCGCAGCACTCCACTTTTCTTCAGCTTCCTTCACATCCTGCATCTCAAGTTGTACCACAGTTTGCCCTTCTATAATCTGAGGAGGAACATATCTAAGAGCCATTCCATGAGTTGCAACTCGATTCTGTTGGAACAAGTTAGTCCACTTTTTTGGTTCATCTCTTCGATCTACATGATTTCCCTCTTTAGCCTCTAGATTCACCTGTTCTCGTGTTTCAATAACAGCTTCTCTTTATTCTGTAATTGTCTCTTTGAAAACTACGGACATATTGAAAACCCGTCTTCTCCATGCTCTCAGCTCACGTTAGCTAAACGTGCGCCGAGTGTGGCTGCCATGGCTAGGGGGCGAGGTAGAGGAAGAGGAAGGCCAAAAAAGGTTCCCAAGACGCCGATTTCAACTATTAGAAACTTAATTAGTACCAATTCGAAAGTTGAACAACGAAACCAGGTCATGCAAACACCAGATCAGAATGAAGGAGTAGAAGCAGAAAAAGGTGAGGATAGTCCATTGACTAACTTGGAGGTTAGTAGGAAGCTGACTCTAGGCACATCAACTCAAGCTAAACAAAGTGAGATTAGCAGTAACGCTATAGCTGCTGGGAATTTCAATGGAACAGTAGCTGACTTGACAATTAAGGCTATTTTGTAATTTAAATTAAAATATTTCTAAATATATTTTTATTAATTATTATTTCATATAGTATTATTAATTTTTGAATCAATATTATATTTTTATTTGTTTGTATCTCCAATTATATGTGGAGTTATAACACTTGAGTTTCTGCCAATAATTATTCATATGACTTTTCTTAATTAAAATTTTGCAGGATCGCAATATTATTCGCACATCGTGCGGGTAAAAATACTAATAAGTGATACAAAGGTGAAGTCTGATACATCTGTTATTCTAAAAAAAAGTTTTAATTGTATTAAGACAACACGTTTGGTAAACATTTTTATGCGCTGTCAAAATTTATCTAAGTTTTCATCCATTTATTTTCCTTCGTATTTCTCTCATTTCCAAACGAGAGAAACGGAATCCATGAAATGTTGTTTTTTTTCTTAGAAAATTTAGGTTCTAAAGAGAAGGAAAGTAGTTAAGTAGTACAACATTTTCCTTCTCTTAGATCTCTTTTCTTAGTATACAAGCAAACAGTGTCGTATCTAGAGCACAACATCCGGGCTCATGGTATTAAATAGCCTTTGTTCAAATTTTATATATACGATCACACATCTCTATGGCAACATCCTTGTAACAGTCATTTTCCTATAAAAGTCAAGTTTTTCTTAAAACTAATTTTTAAATTATACTTTACCTATCTATAATAGATTTTTACCTATAACAGCAACAACCATATTTATAGCAAAACGCTCTTTGTAAAATTACCCCTCTATAACAAACATATAGAATCTTTAAGATTATTAATAGTAATTCTAAAACTATGTATACAATCTTTTCTATTGAGCAAAGTTTCTATCTTGCATAAGATATAAGATTTGAAGACTTGCACATGATATCTTTTCCATCGGACAAATTTCAGAAAATATTTAGACAGAAGATTTAACTGTTAAGCTCTTAGATTGTCTTCAAGGAAAAGCTATCGGATACCTTTTTGCTGAAAATTTAGTCACGCGCCAATTCAAGTGTTATATCGCTAGTAAGAGAATGAAATCTATGAAACAAGCTACAATTACAAAGTTCATTCATCAATCTTGAAAAGATTTATTTTTCTAGGTAGCTTTAAAATGTATGCTTAGAGTTTAAATCTTTATACGTTTAGTTATGAATTTATTAATAATATATTAGCTTTCTTCAATATTAGCATTCTTCAATATTTAACTAGTGAAATATGCATATTTTTCAGATTTTAAATTTGAATATTTTTTTAATCTTTTATTTGCAACATTTAAAAAGGAAAAATAATTAATTTCTGGATATTTTTTTATTTATAATAGCCAAATAGATATTTGAACGTCAAATATTTTTATAGGTGTATAACAGTCGTTTACGATAAAAATCAAAAAATATTGGAACAAACGAGACTACT